TTATATATATATATATATATATATATATATATATGTTGAACTGAAGATAACAAATCTTCTAAGGCACTAGGTAGTAACAGTTCTTTCTAAAATATATAGTAGGTTTGTGAACTTTAATGGACTGCAACTGCCTGCTGAATGAAAAGGGTATAATTGTTGGATATACAAGACTGTTCAGTTTAAGAGTTATTATTGAGTTTATTTAGTGATTTAATATTTAATGATTATTTGATTTTCATAACAAGAGTATTAAAAGTTAATTAATTTAAAAGCAATAGTTATGACAAGTTTCATTATGTAACTCCATACGAGTCGTAAGTTATATATGTGTGTAGTTTAATTGTTGTACTTGGCTTTTGTAATATTGTTGAAGTCATGTTACTCGAAGTTTTAAGTTTTTCATGTTATGTTTAATATTGTTGTTACTAGAGGGCTAGATATTCTTAGAATTTTGTGCAGATACAGAGTGCAAATAAGTACGCTAGTGAAAGTAATGGTGAAGCTGGCTAGATTGCATGATTGTGAGTTTTAGCCATAAAGAGTGTAAGTGGCGATTTTTAAAGGGAAATTATCACAGAGTGTATTATAATAACAGAGTAGAGAAGCAATAATTTGTCTTGTCAATTGTGTTCTAAGATAACTGAATCAGCTTGTGTGGACATTTGATGAAAAAGAGAATTATTTAAAGCTCTAAATTCAACTATGAAAACCAATAGTATAACGAATTTTTGTGCATGTATTTCACTTGTTTTGAAGATATTATTTTAAAACAAGAGGATTGTGTGCTGTCCATTTATTGTTGAAATTTATTGCCAACCAGTCACAGCCACCTACTGTAAAGAATCATGACCCTATAGAACCTGACATTGGTGAGCCAGCAGGATTATACAATGGTAAACGAATGTAAAAGAAGATGTGAATTACAGCAGAAGTAGGCCTATATATGCACAAATTGGTGGCATAAATTGTTGAGATTACAATCATGTTATATAACCATGTTGACTGATTTTGATAAATGGATAAAGAGAGGTGAGTGACTTGGGCTAAAAGATAGTGATAAACTAGTTTATTAAACAAGAAAAAGAAAAAAGCAGCAACAAAAGTGTGAGGATGACAGACAGAAGAGAAGAAAAAAGACTAAAAGGAGAAACTGGAAATAGAGAGAGAGAAAGAGAGAATAAGAGCACAAATTAAGAAAGAAGAAAAGGAAAGAGAGGAAAAAAGACTAAAAGAAGAAAAGGAAAGAGTGGAAAAAAGACTAAAAGAAGAAAAGGAAAGAGAGGAAAAAAGACTAAAAGAAGAAAAGGAAAGAGAGGAAAAATTGCAAATAGAGAGAATAAGAGCACAAATTGAGATCAACAAGCTCACTCAACAGAAAGAGGAAGGACCCAAGTATGACAATAGAGTCAGGGCCAGCCGACCCATACTGCCCAAATTTGATGAACGGAAGATGACATGGATGCTTTCCTGGAGAGATATGAAAGGTTTGCCCAAAGTCAGGTGACTGGATAGTCATCTCAGCCCACTTTTCACAGGAAGAGATCTTCAGAAGACACTATGGGTTATGAATAATTAAAAGTGACTTGCTGAAATGCTATGAACTTATCGAAGAAGGTTTTTTGTTGGACGTTCAGACAAGTCAAACCTGACACTGGAGAAAATGTATTTCACTTTGTGGCACATCTATGGTGATACTTCATAAGATAGACTGACAGATCTACTAATATGTGAACAGTTCATGATGACGTACTCAACTGACATGTCACTGTTCCTAAAGGAGAGAGCACCAAAAGACATGGATGAGATGATCAAGCTGATAGAAAGTATATGGAAGCCCATGGAGGGAGTCTAACTGGCAAGTCCAAGAATAACCAGTTAATGTTGAAATTTAGGGGTGGCTGACCAAAAGCAGGATGCCATCAAAGTTGAAAAGATGTTAATGAATGAAAGGGAGAAGAGATACCATGCTTGTTTTAAGATAAGGCACATTGCAAATGAGTGCAACTCTGTCACCAACAAGCAAAAGCATAAATTTTGACATGAAGCAGCTGGAGCTACCTACAGAGATAGTCTTGGCAAGAAACAAGAAAAGAGTGTATGTCACCATGGATGTTGCTGCCAAAATTAACAGAATAGAGACAACTAGTCAGATTCACCACAAGAAGTAATGAAATGATAAAACATGAAGCATTTATTAAACGTTTCGGAATCATCATAATTTTATCATTGGTAATCTAGCAGTACAAAACAACAATCTTTGTAATTACAACAGAAATATATACGTAAACAATTTGAATATTCAAATATAATGCAAGAAAATGAAAACTGAGGCACAAATCAAATAGTTAAAATAGGTTTAAATCCAGTGAAGACCATGTGTTATTTAGGGATGGAAGAAGAGTTTTATGTATAATGTTTCTTTTATAAGAAGTTCAGTATCACGTTTGGCTGTTGAAAGAATTTGAAAGTTTGAGAGAGAGAGATCGGATGTTCTGTTTCTGTATTATGTTGATAGATAGCGGAGCAGGGAGGATTTGTAACCTTTCTTCCAGTTTTTATAGATATACCTGTGTGTTCACAAGCTCATACTTTAAGGTGACCATTGGTTTCACCAATATAGGAGCCCTTACAGTCTCCGCACATGTATAAATAGATGAGATGTGAACAATGGGCAGTCTGTAAACAATTTTTATAGCAGAAAACATTTTTTAGTCTTAAGTTTGGTTTCATAATAACTCTCAGGTCAATTTAGGAATAGTAAGTGTTACATAACATTTTCAACTGTTTTGTGATAAGGGAGCTCTGTCTCCCAAGATATGGTAAGCAAGTGTATAAAGGAAGTGTGGGTACATTGGGTATAATAGGTGGTTTGATAAACAAATTATTTAGGAATGAGAAAGTTATTTTCTCCAAAAAATGCTTAGGGTAGCTGTTTTGAAAAAAATGTTTTGTATGAAAGTTATTTGTTTGTGAAGGGCTAAATAGGATGAGGTAAGTTTGTAGGCTCTACTTAGTAGGCAGATAAGATTGCATTTGAAAGAGAAGGGTATAAAACTATCAAACTGAGAAAAAAGGTCAGTAAATGTGTTTTATGATAGACAGAAGTTGAAAAGCCATTAGCATCATGATTAACAAGAATGCCCAGAAAGGGAATAGAGTTGTTAGCCTCAATTTCATGAGGGAAGTGTATAGAGAGGTGTTGTGAAATTAGATGTCAAGCAAGCATTGGATATGATGTGTATGACTGACAGTCAGCTCAAGTTAGCAAATGGGTCAACAGTGCTAGTAGTGATTGGAGCATGTGACAAATAACGAGAGCTGTAGTTCCTTAAACTTCTCAAATCTTAAACCTACTATATCTGCTCTGGATAAATTCCACTGAAGCAGTTTTCTATAGTAAATTTAACAATACTCAAAGCCAGTAGTTCTTTCTGTAAAACATTACTGGTGTTCATAACTCTAGACCTTCACAATATATGTTCCATAATGGATAGGCTGGCAGGTTTTCCAAGAAACATTAACCAGTACTTAAAATGATGGATTTTGCCATTAAACATTGCATAATTCTCAAGATATCAGACTCTCATTAAATTTTATAAAGTATTAAAGATGATGAATCTTTTCCCAGAAATATTATTCCAGACATCAGATGTTTTCATGAAACAATATTTATCATTAAAAATGTGAAATTCTACAAAAGCACTAGAATACTTGTAGGACAAAAAATCTGTTGGTAAAAAATTCTTATTAAATTCTTTCTGTCAAACACTGTGTAAAAAAATAATTTAAAAGGTTGAGCTTTTAATGAAAACATTATACTATTAAAATGTATTTTTTTTTTTTATGAAATAGTTGTGAAATAGTTACAAGAAATTATAATGCAATAGATTTTTACTCTGAAAACTTTCTTAACCACAAGATCATAGTTCATTGATTTTTATTCTGAACTTTCTCAAGTACAGGAAAAAAAAATACCTAAATGGTTTTTCTTGGTAACCTTTGTTTTTCTTTGCATCAGACTACTTGGTTTTGGTTAACCTATTTTGTTAATTTTGTTTTCCAATTTTTGCTACAGACCACCTGGTTCAGATGTTAAGCAAGGAACAGTGGTGTTAAGTTCTGGCTCAAACTTAGGACCAGCTGAATTAGGTTTGTTAGCAACAGTTGGCACCACAAAAGTGAGTGTGTATTGTAAGCCAAGAATAGCTGTTCTGTCCACAGGAAATGAAGTAAGTATTGAACTTGTAGTTCACTCATAATTTCAAAAGCCATAAAAATTCAAGTTCAATTCATAAGAAATAAACTTTCCAATTCTTTTATCTGATTTCATAAAACAAACATAATAGGGTTTGCCCAGGAATTGTACAAAAATTCTAAAGAATGTGTGGGGAAAAACCATCTTAAAAAGCATACTTGTTCTTGAAACAGCACTCAAGACCTATCTAAATGACTAAGGCTGCTAAAATATTGATAATAACAAAAAAGTTGATTTCCCGATTTTTAGACAAAATTCATGTATTTGTTTTTCATTTTATTATTATTATTCATATTTTTCTTTTTTCACAAACCTACAGAAAAACGTCTATGAATATTTTATTCAAATCTGGATAAATTCACTAAAAAAACTCCTATGCAGGTCATACGACTATTTTTATGTTGATTCTTGAAAGAGAGATTTTTATTGCTAGTGGCCGAGTTTCTCTTCGAAGCCATTCAACTACTGAAGCCTACAGCAAAAATGGTTAGGTATGCTGCACCAAAATCTATGTACAGCTACTAAATAAACTCCTGCAAAGGTTGTAGGGCTATCGTTAAGTTGATTCTTGAAAGTCGAGATTTCTACCAATTAAAATTTTCTAAGTTCTTCTTCGCTAAGCTCTTTGAAGCCATTCAAGCACCATTATACAGTTGCATTTTATACAAGTCAGAAATGCTTTGTTTTATTAAAGTAAATTATGTGTATATTTAAAACGGTCTCCAGCCTTATTATCATTAATTATAGTTTTACAAGCCACTACAGAAAACACAGCTACAAATATTTTTCAGAAATCAGGACAATAGTAATGAATGCAGTATTGAGTATGTTATAGGGTAGTTTTTAACGTTAATTCAAGTGTCTTTGTTTTTTTGCCCTGAAGAATTTCTCTAATTCCTTTACTTTCTGCCATTGAAAAATCTGGTGTTTTACTGATGCACATTAATTGGAAAATAATTTGTACAACCTATAGCACATTAATTGGAAAATGCCACATTGAGGATTCATCATTTCTCAAGTCCTCTGTTCTTTATTGTTTCTCGAATTCACTATTGTACATTGTCTCTACGTGGTTTTCTGTGACTATTTCAATGAGTTTTTGAACAGTAGACAATTACCATAGTATATTTCTCTACTCTTGTGAATGGTGATTTATTCTGCTGATTTTTTATACTTTACTTGTCAAATGTATGCTTACAAGAAACCTCAGGTGCAAAACCACCTGGCATTGTAAATAATGGTTGGGTGGGAAAAAAGGCAATGTGGTATTAAACTGTTGAAAAACACCTAATATTCAACTGAATGCATATGCATGTATGTAGCTTAAAATTTATTCTCCATAAATGAGCATAAAACCTTAAGAAACAAAATAATTAAAAATTTTCACTTAAAAATGGGAATAGAGATCATCAAAAAAGTACAGAAACAAGTTGAAGCAAAATGCAAAGAGTATATTTTGAAGCCTACATAGTCTACAAAGTGATTCCATTAAAATAGGGACTTGTAGCTTGAAAAAAAAATGTAGACATTATTTCCAGCCTAGTTTGTTTACTTTTTTTTTTAAGAGTCCTTAGTTATAGGCTTGAAAATATAATCTTTTGCATTTTGATTCAACTTGTTTCTGTACTTTTTTGATAATACCTATTCTCCTTTTTATATTAACAGTTTTAATTACCTTGTAAGTATAGAATAACATATTACTTAAATTATTTATGAAATAGCTAGTCAGACCTGATGAGTTTTTGCAACCAGGATGTATACGTGATAGCAACAAGACTAGCTTGAAATCTCTTCTCCAACACCGAGGATTCACAGTAGTAGATGCAGGGATTGCTATAGATAAGTATGTAGACAAATTATTTTTGTAAACTTTCTAAGGCACATTGATATAAAAATAATAGTAATACAAATCTGTAGAGTATTTTACACTTTTATGTTATTATTGTTTTGCAATATTTTTAAAAATAGTTATGGCAGATAAAATATGTATGCCGTCTCCAGCCATTATTATGTATGAGTAGCTTCTGAAGGATTTTCAAATTGTGTTTAGTTTTCAATCCACATAAACAGCCTAAACCTATGATAATTATAAGTCATTGGAAGATCCAAAATTATAATCTAAAAACTGAAACCATTTATTTATTCTATCTGGTTTAAAATATATCAATTAAGGTATTCATTGTGCTTTCTTTTAGTCATGAAGACCTGGTAAAGAAATTTAAAAAAGCCTTTGAAGTGGCTGATGTAGTTGTATCTTCTGGTGGTGTATCCATGGGAGAAAGGGTATTGTGTGATTCCTGCTGTGACCTACATTAATAGAAAAACACCTTAAGTGAAATAAGACATAGATCATATATGTGTCTTTGATATAAGTGTCTAAAAAGAAAAGAGATAGCAAAAATTAGATCTTTCCAATATTTTTCCTTTGCAAGATTATGCTGAAACCTTAGAATTGTCAATTTTGATATAAGTGTAGATTAACATCTCTTATAAAAACAACAAACGTTTAAGTGGTTTACTCTAAAACTGCATAAGCATGTAAAATTAAATTTTGTTTTCACCTTTATCACTTAGTTTTATTATTTAGTACTAACGTTTTTATGCTGTATGTTGAAAGAAAAGCATCAAATGCTTAAGGAAAAGTCTTTAGTACTCAAGTTTTTGTATTATTAACACTCCTTGTGTGCAATCTGTTCAAATATAAAATTTCATACTTGATACCCTGTTTAATTTTAGGATATTCTGAAACAAGTGCTTGAAAACAGCTTTGGAGCTAAAATTCATTTTGGTCGTGTCTTCATGAAACCAGGGTGAGGTCCAAGAATATTTCTTTATGTGTTGTATATATAGTAACTGAGCAAATATAAAACAATTGAAACCAATTTTTAGGTTTATAAAAAAAAAGTTTCTGTTTTAACTAGTATCAAACCTCAGTTGTTGAGATAATAACTAAACACACAATTGCCCATTAAAATATTTCACAGACCTGTTGTAATCCTGTTTGTAAGTATTAGGAGAATATTGTACACAAATGTATAATTTCAAGAAGGGAAAAATTGCAAAAAGCAATTTATTTTCAGTATGTTAACCCTTTTGCATCAGGTAGGTCAAATTATACATGTCACAACCTTTTACAGTGTTACATTGAAGATCTGATTAAATTACTTTGTTATCAATGAATACTAATAAATTTGATATGAAAATGTAGTTTATAAAACGATTGTAATATTATATAAGTTTTAAATTATTAAATTTATAAGGAAATATTTTTAACAATCCTTAATCTCCTCTAGTATGAAAATTGGCATTTAATCTGAAGGTTTTCCCTCTGAGATGTACAGAGCCATAAACTAGAAAATTAGACCCCCTCTTGCCAAGTCTACCTGTCATACCCTCTCCTTCACAAACAGCCAAAGTTTTAATCTATCAGTTGACATATTATATTACGTTGTTTTCTGTACAAGAAATTGTCTGTTTTGCTTCCAGTTCAAACTTTATTTCCATAAGAAACGCATTGAGGAGATTTGTTGAATTTTTAATGACTCTTATTGCGTTGTTAGAAAGCCAGAAAAATTGTGAAAGTCTTGGAACATTGTCTGCTTTTTATGTGTTGTTATTCTGTATTCTTAGGTCAGTATTCAATTAAATAAAAAATTATTTAGTGTGGTAGTTCCATTAGTAAAATATTAGGTTTGTTTAATCGACAGTTGACAGCAAAAAAAATAGACCTAGATAGGTACCATATTTCTTGTTTTTCATCTATATTCTTTATTTATTATTATAATAGTAACTAAAATGTAAATATTAGAGATTTATTAGGTTAGATGAGATAAAATAAATAACAAATTTTCATGAGGTGCAATCGCAAGTAGCCCATTTGTTACTTAATTCGATAGGGTAGTTTTAAGTCACTTGGTGAGATTATTTGTTAGACACAATTCAAAGGGCAATAAACAATAAAATTTAAGTAGAAACAGATGTATACTGTTACATGCTTTAAGCTGTTTAGGATAAACAATTGTGGTTTCCTGTTACAATTGGAGTCATTCCAGAAAGAAAAAGGGTAATTTAGAGTTATTTCTTAACTTTTTAAAGTGGTTATAAGGTCGGTCAAAATCAACCAGTCCTGTATAGAATTATGATATAGAAAATAACTGATAAAATATAAAGTTTTTTTCTGAAAAAAAAGCATTGATATTTATTTAGGAGGTTTTAGGGATTACGCAAATGAAATTTGAAAATTTTTAGATGACGAAAAATGTATTTTTATTATTAACATAAAAATCACTTTTCAATCACAGCAGTCAACTTTCTAACACCATATCATTATGGGCAAAATTTTAGTAAAAATACTTAATTTAAAATTCTGATTTTTTATCTACAGAAGACTTAATATTAAATGAAAGCTTTCCAAATTTCATGAAACACATTAAGTACTTTTAGAGACATAGTATGTATACCACCATGCTTACAAGGTTGTGTAAAATACACAAGCCTGTTACCATAGGGTTAACTAATGTTATAGTACATGTTTCAATAGCACATTATTTTCACATTCAATTTTTTTTTCTTCCTAGGAAGCCAACTACATTTGCCACATTGCAATTTAAGAGTAAGAAAAAACTGGTGTTTGGGCTGCCAGGTAACCCCGTCTCTGCAATTGTTACATGTAACTTGTATGTCTTGCCTGTTCTGAGGAAGATGATGGGCTTTCATAGACCACTAAATACGACCATCAAAGTCAAAGTATGTTTAAAGTGAAAATAATTTACAAGTAATACTAGAGTAATTAAAGTATTCAATATGTGCAACTAATTATTTCTAAGAAATTATCTTTACATCCTAGTCACTTGTTTTTAAAGAACATATTTCAATTTCAGCTGGCACATCCAGTAACACTGGATCTTCGACCTGAATATCACTGTGCTACATTGAAGTGGGAACTAGAAAATCCTGTGCCATCAGCCACTAGTACAGGAAAACTGATTAGCAGTAGACTTCTAAGCATGACTAGTGCCAATTGTTTGTTGATATTGCCACCAAGAACAAATTCTTTAGAAATGTTGGATAAAGGTCAACAAGTGGATGCTGTAATTATTGACTGGATATAAGTTTTTTCTGAAGAATAAATCCTAACATTTGAAGTTCATTGGGGTTGTCTTTATTTCATACTAGTTATTATGTGACATTTTTTACTTATTATAATACCTACCTTCAGGACTTTCTGAAATTGATTTACAAACTGATAAACATCAATTACAGTAATTTAAACAGTTATTGTATTCTGCTAGCACTGCGATGTGAAAGAAGATTTGTTTTATGAAATAACGTATTATCTTTTATATTAGTAATGTTCTATCTAAAGATAACTTTTTTTAGTTACATTAATAAGATTTACTAGTAAGTTTAGAGCTACACACTATATCTGTATGTAATCATTTGTTTAACAATGCACTACTTATCGCTATTGTCACTTTTTCATTCTTCTTTGTATAACCTTGATCCCATTTTGTTATGGAGTCAGCTGCTTGGGTCTTCCTTCTTCATAAATTATAGTCCTTTGCATCATTTCTGGTTGCACTATAAGCTTCCTCCTATCCCTGTCCACCATGTCTTTCCACTGTATTCTCTATCTTCCTCTACTACTTCATTTCTCCACTGGCATTTCTAATGCTTTTCTCATTATACATACTTTTTTCAATTCTTACTACATGTCCATCCAAACCATCTCAGTCTTTCTTCTCTTGTATCTGCTATGATCTTATAAACTCCAAATTATTTTCCTGATATCATCATTCATTATTCTTCCCCTTAAAGATATTCCCAGCATTGTTTTTAACATTCTCATCTCTGTTCTTTCTAAAATACTCTTGATATTTTTTTTTTATGGCCCAAGTTTCTGCTCCTTAAAGCAGAAGTGGCCTAACTACTGTTTTGTAAATTTTGCTCTTAAGCTTCAGCAGTGTTTTCTTGTTAAGAATCGTCCCTGCAAATTCCCTCCATTTATTCTATCCAGTTGCTTCTGCTTCACAGTCTCCTTCTTCACTAATGCTGAAACTTGGGTACATAAATTTATTTGACTGCTTTATATCAAAGCTGTTTGTCTTTTTCTACAGGTCGCTCTTCCCCCTCTGCTGTTTAACACTACCTTCATTTTCCCTGTGTTTACTGTTAACCCTCCTCCCTTTTTAGATTTTCCTTCCACATCTTGCACCTCCGTGCATCCCTTTATCTGTTTTGCTGTTATAACCAAATCATTCACAAACAAGAAGTCCCAAAGCATTCCTCTCCTTTCCTTTTAACTCAAAACATCCCTCACTGTCTTGAACAGAAAAGGCTTAAAGCCAGTCCTTGTCTTATTCTTACTGCTGTCTTTGCTCCATTATACATTGTTTTCACTATCCTTACCAACTTTACCAGTAAACAATGTCTCTTGGCACCATATTATATGCTTTTTTTTTCAAATCTACAAAGCATCAATACAGCTTTCCCCTCTAAAATATTTTCCTATAGCTGCCTGGCTATGAATATAGCATTCACTGTTCCATTCCCAGGTATAAATGCACACTGCATTTCATCAGTCTGTACAACTTCTCTTAACCTATATTCTACTACCCATTCAAACACTTTTATGATATGTTCAGTTAATATAATTTTAACAGTTTAGTATCTTACCTTTTTGTTTGTATGTAGAGACTATACTTTTCTCCAAATTTGAACGTATTTTCTCTTCTTCCAATATTTCTTGCAGAAGCTGCCCTACCCATTCAATGCCCAATCTTTCCAAGCCCTTTATCATTTTCATTACCACTACTGATGGACTACTTGCTTTCCCATGTTCCATTTTTTTATAGCTCTCTTCTCCTCCAACCTTCTGATTTCTTCCATTGGACCTTCCATGACTGCTGCTTCTTTCAAAACCTCTCTCTCATTTTCTACATTCATCAAGTCTTCATAATACTCTTTTCATCTCTTTTTAATGTCCTTTTCATCAACTTGAATGCAACCCTGTTTGGTCTTTATAATATTTATTTCTCTAACATTTCTGTTAGCTTGTTCTATTTATTTTGTAATCCTATATATTGCCTGCTCTCCTTTTGGTGTTATTTGTCTTTTTTTTTTAAATGTCTCCCTCTTTTGTTCTTGTACTTCACCACCATGTCTCTCTCCATTAGGCTTTCCTCCTTTCTTGACAACACAAACTTTAGTTGCTACTTCCACTAGTATTGCTTTCATCTTATTCCATTGCTTAGTTACTTCTTCCCCTCTGCTCTTCCCATATTTACTATCTCTTCTTGCATATCTTGTAATTTTGCTCTTTCATATTTTTCTTCTATTATATTGTGTCCCGTCATTTTCTTACTCTGTTGAACAATAATTTGCAAGCTGTATATTCACAATCTTGTTTTATTCCTTACTTTGAACAGAAGAAAAGACATGAAATATTATATTACATAATTTTATTGTTTTGGGTGTATTTCTTTGTAATTGCACACATGCATATACAGCATAAAGCCAGTACTGCAGAAATCAGTATTTACACAACTTAATATGATTCAAAAATACTTCTAACAGATGATAGTTGTTTAGCCAGAAGTTCTTGAACATAAAAATGTGTAACATTTTATATCTCAGATTAATTTATAATTGATGTAATTAGTGAAAAAGGGTGTACTGATTTTACTTAACATCATAGTTTGATACTGTAGTAAATTTTATGTAATTGATAAAATGCAGCTTTACAGTAGTAATTTAATTTACCATTATACGTGGATCACTGCTGACTAGTTTTTTGTTTATACTCAACTTCTAAAACATAAACTAGTCTGAATTATGTTGTAAAATTAACACATAAATAGTCAAAACTCTTTCTCATTGACCATAGCCATCTCCAACCTAAGACACCATAATATAAGAGTCAGGATATCCTTCAGAAGAGTAATGTGCAGTTACTAGTTGAATCTAAGATATTTATTATTGAAAAACAAAGACTTGGAAATCCCTGATTGTTACTTAAACATTTCAGAAAATGCATGTAAACAGCACCTCTAGATTAAAAAGAATATAGAATAATTACCAAAAAAGTGCAAAAACCCATTGATTTATGTGACAACTGTATAAGCCCTGTCTGCAAACCCTTAACTTCTACAAACACTAACTAATTGCATAGTGTTACTACCCAACATATTAATATCATAAGGTTGCTTTGCTCTTTTATAGAGCCATATTGATTTGATAATTGTGAATTTGCATAACATACCAGAGGATGTTTTTGTGCAGGATGTTGCACTGCTTCATTATGCACTGAATGTTGATTTTCCCAAAGGGTGGATAGTGTGTCATAGGCCATTTGTATGGCATGTATAGCTCTCTTGATATCAAATAGTTAATTAGAAATAGAAATTAAACTACAAAATTCAGCAATAACAAAATGATATCCAGAACATAAGTTTTAATTTACATTTTTGAACAATACAAGAAAGTTGAATAAAATGTTAATACAAGCTAGTTTATTTTTATATCATAGCAGCTTAGGCTGAGCACTTAATCATACAGATCTGGAACTTTCAACTTAAAAGTACTGGTTTATGAGTACAAACTAATTATAGAATGATTTAAATGCTTAATTATTTGTCAGATGAGAAATGATAAGTAAAATATCTCTCTCTATATATATATATACATATATATATATATATATATATGTATTGATAAGTTTATTCATATTGTTTATTTTCAATGTCTCCCACTCAATAAATTTTGTTATAAACATTACACAAGGTGGATTATGTGCATATAATGCTACGGGACCCCCACACAGGCCTTATGGCCACTAAACTATTATAAAATAAGCTGTGTATGAGTTTCTTCCATAAACAAATGTTGGATTGAACAGGAAATGTGAAAACTAGTTTCTATTTAAATTTGGGATTGTTCCATTAGTATGGTTTTAAGCTTTGTTATAAATTACTTTACATTGTATTGTGTGTTCACATCCTTTCTTCAGATTGGTAGAGTATTTCCCCAAAATCTGTTGAGAATATTAAGAAGCACCATCTAGTGTCCTCTGAACTGGTATTTTTTTTACTTGTGATTATTATGAATAAAGATTGATTTCACTATGTTCTACACAATGTTCAGTCTTTTCTGCAACTCAGTAAATCATTTCCGTTCAAGCCTCTAGCTGTTTACAGTGTTATTTTAATTGGAATATAATTAGTAAACCTGAAAATATCACAGAGTAAGGAAGAGTGGTAAATTTTGGTGCCATGAGCAGGATTTGTTATAGTGGAATTTTGCTGAGTTTTGTGGTGTGTACTTTTCACTGCTTCTTTGAAGTCTGGCATGGAATATGTTTTATACTTTTTTAAACCTAGAAATGTTATTTTCCAAATGAAGGACTTAAGCAACTCTATAGGACTTCAACATTGAGAGCGAATCATAATCTGAAGGAGTAGAAAAGCCTAGGTGATGTCTTCCACTGGACATAGGTTTAATGTTGCAAATGGCCATGATTACAGCTATAACCTCAGGAAAAACCACAGCTTGGGACCACCAGAACAACTAAGCAGGTTTTACCCATGAACGTTACCTTTGTCTCATTAAGGCTTAGATCATTGAAGTGACATACAAGCTCATGTACTTGAGACCATGTGTGGAGGTCTCTTTAGAACACCCAGACTGTCACTGGGCAGTACAACATGACCATAACCCTGGTTGTTGTCATCCATGGCCAGCCAAAGGAGACTAGAGTTGCAAATGGTAGATGAAATCTTCCACTCTCAGCTGTTTCACCACCGGAGGAGACAGAGGGCACTAAGTGGTGATAGATTTCTCAAGGTTGAAAGTGTGCTGCTGGGACTACAGTAAGTCATAGAGAACTCTGGTGTTATGCAGAGCTAGAAAACGATATTCCTATGGTAAATTGTCATTCTGCCACCTATATGCAGGGATCCAACTTTCATCTGTGTGCCAACACTATATTGTGCTCTTGGAGTCATGGGTATCTCAGCCTAATGTTGGTCGAGATGCTCCAGAATTTTGTTCCTATAGCCACAGGTTCATATGAGTGAAGTGAATCAGATTTCTTTCCAGTATTAAAGGGTACCACCAAGGAAGACTTGAACTGCGTCCTTAAGCATTTCAAGC